CTTCAGATTAAAAATTTGGAACCCGTTCCAGAATTTGGACCCGATTTTGGCAATGCCAAACAGTAGTGTAATGTGCAGTATGAGATTTGGCGAATGCTTGTTGGAAGACCGCATCTCCCTGCAGAGATGGCAGGCCATAGAAGACAAAAAATGCTGGCACAAAATTGCCTGGCAGCATTGTGCATTGACAGTCCTATCATGTGGAATTAAATTCCAATGCCAGAATATTCGCAACCTCCCATTCTTGCACTGTAACTGGGACTTGAATTTTTGCTTTATGCAGTTTTGGGCAAGTCCTTCTTTGGGCCGTCTGATGACTCTTCACCAGATACTTTCATATATGAATGGGGAGGGCGACTCGTCAGACCAAATCGCTCTCTGTTGTCCTATCAGATAGCCCTTAGCCTGTGCAAACCGCTTTTACGCTGTACTGACGTTAACATGGATTTCAGATTACTTTGAACAAGTAATACCTCATGTCATATACTTGTTTCTAGTAGATGTGTCGACGTATAAAACGTCCTGTATCTTGACATTCTATGCGTCCGCTGTGTAATTATACTGTTAAGAACGTACCAGGTTGGTTTTTCATGACAACGCAATGCAAAATTTGATTTTATTTAGAATTAGATCATTTGTGGGCTACCGTTGCTCTGTCTTGACGCTGTGGAATTGTTTTATCATAGTATTGAGGAACATTCTGACAATACTCGTTTGCAAGCACATTCCCAATAAATCTACCGCATAGTCACGTCGCGTATTTTCTGGAGGATCTGTCTTACTTACCATTGTTTTGAGTTCTGAATAACGCAGAGATAGAACCAGATGTTTTACAGCCCATTGAATGCATATGGACAACTGTACATAGCACAAAACAGCAAAAGTTATGCATGTACTGCCAAAGCAACGGTCGAAAATATAGGGTGTTCATAAATTTATTACCTCAACGTTTCGAACAGAATGATGCTTCCAGAAGGAAAGAATGATGAGAGATAGAATGAAGTAACCTGACTTACTACTGAAAATTTTTGACAGTTCAAACCAGACTCGATTCCAGAATCTTAAAATCAGGAAGAGAGTTTTCATTTACAAGACAATAAAACAATTAGCGACTCATTGATATTAGTAATAGTAGTAGTAGTNTTCTGCTTTTCTTATCGTTTATGATAACTGATCACGGAGTCATACATTTACTGTCACGAATAAGGTAATTTTCTTTAAAACTGTAATTTTTGAAAATTAAAATTTAAAAATTATTGTATTATATTTTATTTCTGGAATTATTACGTACAGTACGAATATATTTTTTGATTTTATTTTCAATGATTTCTTTCAGAAATGAATTGACCACTTGAGAAATCAAGAATTCCCAATGGGATCGATCGAAAAAAATTCATTCTTTACAGTCAATTTATTTGAAAGTAACTTTAATAATTAATTTAAATCTTTGTTCATTTTTAAGAAAATCTCTTTTATCTAAAAACGAATAATTTATTTCGTTTTTTTCTTCTTTCTTTGCTTTTCATAATTCGTGTGATACAAAAAAGGATAAAAATACTTAAATTTTAGATAAATGTTGAAAATTTATTGAAGATTTTCAACATTATATTGCAACTTTATCATGATTTTCTTTCAGCGAATAATTAAAAATAATGAATTGTTATGTTATAGTAATGTTGAAAATAAACATTTTTTTTATTATTAAACACTTTTATTTAATTTGCTTTGTATCGTGTCCTCAAATCTTGGAACTCGATTTTTTTCCACTTCTAATTAATATAGAAAACTGAAAATTTGAAGACATACCTTAGTGATATTCTAGGGGAATTCACAATTCTCTTTATCCTCCCCACTCCGAAACAAAACAAGCGTAATTAAATGTACAGTTAAATCATGTATGTATATAAATGCATTGTACAGATGTACGGTACGGTCGGGGTGGTGTAACTCCATCTCCTTTACTTTCGAAACTTTTTTAATATATTAAAATTATTTCTTTAATTTCATAACGAATTATTTCAAATTTTTTATATTTTTCCAATTTTCAGAATTGCAAAATCTAAAATATGTCATATCATATAATATTGATAAACATGTTTTGTTTCATACAACATTACTTTAACCATTCGATGACACGGAACATCGAGTAATGATGTGAAACTCGAATCAAATATCCAATACATTGGCTCCTATAGGTTCGGAACCTAACTTTCTCCATCTTTTATTCCATAAAACACGACATATCATATAATTAAGAGAGTAAAACGCTATCTAGAGTTAAAGGTAGTGGAAGCTGTTGGTCAGGAAGGCCAATTTCTCCGTAAGCTGTGTCGAAAGTTTAAAATCTTTCACACACGTGTGTGAAATATTAAAGGAAAGAAATGTTATTATTAGGAAAAGGTTCTCTGCACCCAAGTACATTGCGAAGCTGTTAGAAAATCCAACAAGGTTACTTCGATGGTTGAAGGAAGGAAATCTGAGTCCCAAAGCAACTTGTACATTGCTATAGATTTCGAGTATTAGTTTACATTGTATGGTTCTGAATACGCAGAAACAGAAAAGGGCATTATGCCAGGAATGAAGTTCGAATATCACGTAAAGTTCAGGAGGAAGATTTTGATATGAGTTTAGTTTAGTTTCATGGGACAACGTAACGCAACACATGGGCGATTTACCAAGAGAAAGAGGTCTGAAGACTTTCTACGGAAAACTGGCTCCTATTTAGGTGTTAGATACGTGAAGAAAACCGTAAAACTCCACGAGACTAGGTTGTTGGTCAGATGTGAACCCGCGACCAACTACCAAGTATTCAGTGTTTTAACCATTCTGTCATTGGTGGACCATTTCGATGTGGGTGGCATAAGCCCTCGCGGGTGATCTCGGGCCTTCATTTCACCTTCATAAACTTTTCATTAACACAAAAGTATAAAGTAGGTGTGAATCAAGAGACTAACCTCATTCTTGAAGAAGCACTATCCGAATGCAGATTACGTGTTTTCGCCAGATATGGCAATGTCCCAGTATCCTCCAGAGACGATTGCTGCCTTTGACCAATCGAACTGTTTTGGTACCAGTTAAAGGAAAAAGTATATGACGGAGGGTTGAAATCAATTTTGCTGCAGAACTACGTAAAAGAATTTAGAACAAGTACTGCCAATTTACAAACAAGGACTTATAGAACTTTTGAAACGTGTGAAAATATATTCCATAGAAATGACCATTGAGTATTTTCGATATTGTTAAAGTGACAGACTGCTCAAATATGTTTTCTTTACTTTATTTTACGTGCATTTTATAACTTTACAACTTCAAACAGAAATTCATTTTCATATTCCGGATTTTACACATCCTTAGTCTGCTTTTTCTTCTATTTAAAATGATTTTCTATTAAATCAGTTTTTGATAGGATTTATCAGATCTTTAAGTTCTGATTTAAGTATAAAAAACTGAATAACAGTTTTCATTCAATAATATATTAAATTATATTTTATTATTTATATTGGAGTACTTTCTGTCGAAAGAACTCAACAGCTCTGTCAAAGAAGTTTAATTAATTCGAATAATATGATATTGATGCAATTTCTTATATCATTACTTGAAAATAACTTTAGAATGTTATGGAACTGAATCATTTGTTATTATTTCTCGTAACTTTCCATTTGATCTGTGGCAACTTACTGAAATCTATCAATATTCACAAAAAGAAGCGCGATTCTTATTGTAGACCAGCGATTTTAAAACTGTGGTACATAATATGTTCTGTGGCCCGCCAGAATATTAATATTGATCACAATCGAAAGAAAATAGACTCAATTTTTTAAAATCCATTTCTTGTATTTTTATTTATGAACTAAAATTTTCTGTAATATGTATTTTAATTTTACAGATAAAACGAACAGAAAAAAAGTTAATGAAAATGTAATAAATTACTGTATTAGTTTTTATGGAAATATTTTTATTTATAAAAGGTTAATAATATAGAAATCGATTTTTCGATTAATTTCGAAGGTGGACAATTTTATTAAATAAACGTTTGCGACACTGAAGAGAAAATTATTTTTTATTTTCCTTTAATATAATAAATGTACAGTTTTGTTCACTGGACAGAAACATAACTATTATAGTTGTATTGATCAATGTAATTTTAAAATCAACTTATAGATACTGTATATAGAAACAGTACTAATTATATATATTATGTAGTAGGCTATATGTATATTTCACAATGCTTTCTCTAATGCCGTCTTTATAGTTAACAATGTATTTCTTGGTGTTCTGCAAAGGAAAAATTTCCCCACTCCTATTATAGACACTCAAAAACTTTTTAAAATCAAGAATACGAGTCTATTTTTCGTTATAAATGAATTACAGATAGAATAACACGACTTACGACAGTATTTCCAACTAACAAGTAAGTATCGTAGAAATACAGAAGTAACGCTGTGAAGACCATCGCATCTATTCACGTTCGTCAGTACATGAAAAGAGGATTGTCAGCAACAAAAGGTTGGGAAACTTCGTCAAACTCTTTAGAAATTCGAAATTGTTTATCCATGTTTTATTCATGCATTTTCGTGTCATCAAACCTCCACACAGTAACCTTGAAATATGAAGTTACATCCATTCAGTTAAAATTTAGTTAAGATTTAAGTAAAGAAGATTATATTTTAAAGTAATTGACGCTACTTTAAGATAAATTGAAACATTAAAATGATTAAATATTGTATTTTTATTGAAGTTGTTTTTGTCTCGGTGGTTTCTGGCACGTTAAGAATTAATGTCTTGTCATACATGTTACATAATTAAAGATCTAAATTATTTCATGTATGCCAGAAATGATTATTATTCATTATAAATGCAAAATATTATATTAATGAAAGAATAAGTTAAAGAATAACTTGACAAATCACGTGTACTTTTATTTTCAGAGAGACAACATGTCGCGTGGAATCCTTCATTAGCTATTGCTGACTTTTATTTATAAACTTTTCAATCTCTAGGGAAATCAAGAGAAAATAGAGGATGAAGAAGACGATCCAAAGAGGAGAGTGGACCGGATTTTCGAGCAATTGGATAAGGTGAGTTTCTAACTCTGTTCATTGCTACAACCTGTAGATTATCGATCCAACTTTCTTCTTACTTTTTTCTTCTTTTACACCAGACAACTCAATAAAGGTGTGTTTAAACGTGCTCGACGCTCAAATTGCCTCATTTTCTTTAACAAAGAAAATATTGGCTACTTTTTTCATCTCTCATTTTGCAAATTACAACATAAAGCGGGATGCAAAAAATGACATTCTCTTCCATTCAACTCTACATAAATAGAATAATATATTAAATATACATAGAGTTTTATTTTAAAAATAATCTTTATAAATTCTTTTATAATGCATATATTAAAGATTTAAAACTGTAGAGTAGAAAGTTGTAAATAGTGTCGGTATTTTCTTATCCAAACTCAAAAGCAGAGTGATTGTTAATAAGCAAGATTCTATTTAACAATTTAAAATACTTTTATAAATTTCTATTTTTTAATTTTGTTCCAGAATCATGACAATCAGCTATCTTTGGAAGAATTTAAAGAAGGTTCGAGACAAGATCCCAAAATCGTACAAGCATTGACTCTGTATGCTCCTTAAGAAATTCAGATCATCCGAAATAGTTCCACATATCAAGGATCTCATTTTTCGTTTCTCTTTCCTACATTCACTCGTGCACCGTAGACGATTGTCTTTTTCGTAAAAAAATTTTAAAAAAATTATAAAATAATAAAGCACTTTCAAATCGCGGTGACATCAGGATGAGAGTTGCCAACTTGACCCATGAAAGATTACATATTTGTCATCTGAGAAGAATAAAATCTAAGAAAATGTTTTAAAATAATGGAAAATTTAACTCGTGTGTTAATTTAAGAGTTAAATTTTCAAATAAATACATAAATAACATCATTTTTAATAGGGAATAAATATGAAGAATTTGGGATGAGTTGGCAACCTTCATAAAATGTTTTCAAAGAAACCCCTGCAATGTTGCCAGCCACGACATAACGTGGCATCACAATATATGTTGTTTAGTCGATGTTCTGTTAAATTCTGATTCGTTTTAGATCTGAAAATTGTTGGTCCCGTTTATATCCGGACAGAAAAATCCATAACCTTTTCCGAAACATGTGCAAATATCTTTATGTTACTTTAGTATATCGCTTCTGTATAGAATGTGTGATAAATAATATATTTAATAAAATCTCGATCCTCAAAATAAAGTCTTCTGAATGAAATTAAAGAATATTCAATCAATATTTCTCAAACAGATAGGAGATATTTAAAAAAAGGCATTGTTTTGAGTCAAGTATATATGAATGATACATGAAACATTCGACGATTTTAACAAATATATTATTTCGAAGCGCAAGCACTTACAGGATTTTGTGTCGGAGAAAAATATACAATTGAGAGTAGACAAATACATGTATAAAAACAAAGTAAAAATTCTATTATACTTAAAGATGTGGAGTCTTGCAATAGTAAAGTTCTTACGCAAGAGTTTTAAGGGAAACTGCAGAGGCCATCTTATTATCCGCGAACTGTAATTACTACTTATTAAACGTCTTGAAAAATGTCTTTCATTGTAAAATTAATATTCAAAAAAAAAGAAAGAAATTAAATCTCAGAAGGGATAAATGTCCTTACTGACCCACTCTTTATTCTAAATACAGCGCTCTTTTCGATCAGAAATCGTCGATGTCTAGGCGCATTACTTACATTTGTGAACAAATCGCTTTATATTGAAACTTGTTTCTAAATAATATGACACAAAACAAAAACCTTTAAGTGTATCCCATATCCTGACAGAAATTACGGATGAAAAATATGCTATTTTTGTACAGTTTGGTGAATTTAGAATCCTCCGACTCTTTCCAAGTTTAAATACACAATTTTTTAAGATAGACAAAGGTACAGGACAGCCTAAAAGTCAATTAACCGTTGTAAAAACTAAATGTTTATCTTATTCAAATACTTTATTACTTTTTTACACGATATTCAACACGAAATTCTTCTTGTTTAATATGCAAATTACAACGACATACTTTCACAAATTGTTAACTTTCTTGAAAAATTGCAGAATCACTTAAGAAAATAACACGTTTAACAGACTTTTGGGCCACATTTTGTACATAATTAAACCTATAGAAATATTTTAAATTTAATCTTCGAACTTTGATGTACAGATTTATTACTAATATAATTTTAATTTCCTACGATAGTTTGAACTATATACAGTTTTATTTCATCAGATTCTAGCGTTGATAGTTGAGAATGTAATATACTTAAGTAACTTAACAAAAAATGTTATTATAAATGATAATTAAATAAACAATTTTTTATCAAAAAAAAAAAAACTTTTTTTATTAAAATTAAACATTTTCGACGACAAATTCTGTGCCTTCCAATGACCGAGTGAATATTTTAAAACTCCATTCTGTGAGCACCAAGAGAGCCTTTTTTAGCAAGTCCATTATGAGTTCGGCATGACCCACAACGGTCAATCCGATTTACAAACTCTATAAAAATTTTACAAAAAGTATTATTGCCATCACTCAATGTAAGAAGAACCGATTTAGACTTGTAAACCAATAGCATAAAAGGCTCTTTTCCTGATAAATAATAATAAATTTAAAGTGTAAATCCATAAGATTTAACTTATTTAGCTCTTTGCAAATCCTGCCCTGGGCATGTGCTTTAAGTAAAATAATAAACATGGCGTAGCAAGCGAGGCGGAAAGTATTAGTATTTAATTCAAGATTAATTACTTGGAATTCAAGCCAAGTAAGTACTGTACATATTTAATACAAGACACATACAAATACAAAATACAATGTATATGCCAGCACTAACATATTTCATACAAAGCAATAAACCTATTGCATTCCTCATACAGTATACTTGACAGACTTTCTGGTTTAACCATTTTGCATGCCACGATTTTTTTAACACTTCTCGTAGTTTATCGTTTACAACAAATTTTAAACTAAAGAAAATTATATTTAGATTAATTTATAACATTAAAAATGTTATATTTTATTAAATTCATAAAATTAGAACGGGAAAGAATAAGAAGCGTCGCAAAAAGGTGACAACTCTCATTAATTATAGCTACAAAATTATTGTTTAGAATGAATCTAGAAAATAATTCGTAATTTTTTAAAAAAGTTTCTAATTTTTTTTAAGTTAAACTTTTTTAAAAAAGTTTTGTTTTATCAATAGTTGGTGGATATGATGCGATCGATCGAACAAATGTTTAGCTCTTAACGGAAGTGTTGTACTCATTTGTTAATAAGATCTGCTACATTTCCTTCTATTCTAATTATTTCCTGTCAGAATCATCTTTATCATTGTCGACAATGAAACTGGCGATCTCATTATATAAAAGGAAACTAAGTTTTTTTTTTATATTTTTTTAATTGAGAATCAATGTGAAAAGAATTTATTAAATTACATCGCTCCACATAATATTTTATTCTAAAAACACTACAGAATTTAACGAACATCATAAATTAATTTTCATAAAAATTTAGTGTGATTTGTAAACTTTAAAACTCTCTAAAAAAACAGTAAATTTTATTTTAATAATNTATAATAAAATACTTCAAAGCAATCATTAAAATAATCATTTTTATCATCATTGAAATTTTATTTTAATAATTTATATAAAATTAAATAATATATTTATAATATAAATGTATTTATTAGAATGTTATGATTATTAATTTAAATTCATAATGTTATTTAATTACGTAAATTAATTTACATAATTAAGAAACTTAAGTGTTAATTATACAAATTTTACACATTTTTCTTGGTTCTCGGAAGAATCGCCTATGTTTAAAATGGTGTGAATAGGGAAGAGGTATTAGAATTAATTTCTAAATTTTTGTAGAATTTAAATAAGATTTTTGTATTTAAATACTTTTTAATATTTTCCTCTTAAAACGGTAGCTCAAAAGTTTTTAAACCAATGTAAAAGATTAAATTTCTGTCTTTTTCAAATATTTTATTGCTTACAATATCTCCAAGAATTAGTGAATTGTTGGCAAATACATGGTTAACTGACTTTTGGTTACTCTGTATATTCTTTATTAATTAAAACTGCTCAGAAATAATTTATAAGAGAATAAAGAATGCGAATTATTTATCAATGTCTATTCAGAAATAATTACAATTCTGAATATGAGTATACAGGGTTGCTTAAAAGTCAGTTAAGTTAAGAAAATATCGAATGGCCCAAAAATTAGCTAACCATTGTAAAGATCAAATTGCTATATTATTCATTTAAAAAGTTTAGAAAAAATTGCTGGAAAAAATACAGTTAAATGATATTACAATTTCAATTGTATCTGAGCTATTTATTTAAAATCTTTCAATATATTTTAATATTATTCTATTAAAAATTCGCAGCAGTAGATTGGAATAAGAACAGTTAACTGACTTTTGAGCCACCCTATGTATATGTAGTTAATAGAAACAACTTTATAACAATCTTTGAGATTCTGATTCCTTATAAGATCAATTTTTGTTTTTTCATTAAAGTATTTACAATTTCCAGATCTTCCTTAAGAGCATTTTTTGTTAATTGACAGTGATATATTAACTTAATAAACGTTAAAGGATATAACTACAGCTACTGTTCAACTCCCTAATCATGATGTATGTTGTCGAACTGTTCTTAAAGTAATTATAGCTGTGCTCCTGATATTATTGATTTTAAAAGATAAATATGCATGTCAGCCTTACATTTAAACATTTAAAACTTAATAATCTTAAAAATGTATAAACGTTTTTTCCATATTTTAAAGCGGATGTGCGATCGCGATCTACATGTTAGGAGTATAAAAATTACATTAATAATATAGTTGCGGAATAATAACTATAATATATAAATAAACTGATTTATTTACATTTATAAATAAAATATTACNGAAATAACGGTTTTCAGAATAAAATGAATTTTTTTTTTCTTGAATTAAAAACACTTTGTACAGATTTTGGTTACAATTTCTGTAATAGTTATCTTTGTTTATAGATTGGGATAATCATAACGCAAGGTAAAAATGACTAATAAAAAGAAGGTGGTGTACAGGAACAAAAGTAAGCCCATTTCATTAGTTTTGAGCATAAATAGTCGCAGCAATGTCTTATGCGACTAAAATTTGCATAAGACATTTGTACTTTAAGATTCCTGTGTCATTTTAAGTATTTTTGTGAAAACTGCATATGTTTAGGATCAGAATTTATTGAGATACGCATTTTTGAAGTAATGCCTGACCGTGTGTATTAAAAAACAATAATTCATGTCAGACAAAAATAGTTAATAATTCAGAATATATTAAATATTTTACCAAAACAACACGTAATTCTAGTACAAAAATGATTTATTTTGATAATTTGATAACAGTGTTATATTAACAAGAATCATCCTTATACACCCAACAAAAAGACACTCCTAACCCATCAGCTTCAATAGAGAACGGCTGTTTGTCATAATCAATATGAAATCATGCTTACATTCCAAGAAAATTGCTAGTTATAATATCATTAGCATTTATATTATCATCATATTATTATTAATATGATATCATCTAGTGTTAATAATATATTTTAACGTCATTACCTTATGTTACGAGACGTCAATTACGTCTTGAATATTCTATTACAAATTACACTAGATTGTAGCTATTTCTACCAAAAAGAACAAGTTCTTATAAAGAATTAATTTTCAGAAATTTTTATGAAAACAAAGAATTGTGACGATATTAAACATTTTACACGAAAATTATCGTATTTTTATTCCATTAATTGATCATTTTTATGATACTGAATGCCCAATAATGAATGGCCCTGTACACACTAGGCGTTTTTCAACGCGCGTTTAACGCCGAGCTAACGCGCGTTAGCTCGGCGTTCGACGAGCGTTTAACGCGCGTTTAAAAACGCCTAGTGTGTACACAGCCCTAATATGGAATGAATTAAAAAATTCGTTCCTGTATTTGAATGTATAGTGGCAAGTTTAAATTTCTTCTGTAAACGTTTCATCGGTTTGCACAAAACGGTTCTGTATAAAATATCAATTCAAATTAATACAGTACAAGACCTTTCCTTATTATAATTCAAGACCAGAGCAAAGAGTAACAGTAAAGTTTTGTTTTAAAGCTGGAAAAAGCTCAACTGTAACTTAAAATTGTGCATACAGCTTATAGAGATAAAGCATTAGTAAAATCAGATTTATTGCTGTGTAGATAGTTTCATGAGGAGCAAGAAATTGTTGGAAACTGTGCTAGAAGTGGTCGTCCATAAGGTCTTGATCGAATTGCAACATTGAAGAAATTCGAAAGATCATCACTTATGAATAATAACAGATGAACTTAGTATCAAGAAAGATAACGTACATTCGATTGTTGTCGAAAATTTGTTCCACTTTGTGTCCCATTTATTGGCCAAGGAACAGGAAGAGAAATGACTTGAGACCAGTGGCAGATCATCGCACAGGTGCAAAAAACCTCTGAAAGTTAGCAGCTTGTAAAAGAGATACATTTTGCGAATCTCGGTCACAGATACTATCTTCATGT